GGGCGATGTTGATCTCTCAAATTGCACGTGCTCTAAACCATCTCTTAAGCCACTGATTGTTATTTTTCCGTGCAGAATGAGCCAGACTCAAACGAAATTGACAGTATGAAGGAGGCAATTTTGCAGAAATTTGACGACAATTTTGACAGAAAGATCAATTTGGAAGAGGTGCGTTCCGACTCCATAGTGATTTGAATATGAAGATTGTACCGCAGTCTCGATCTCTCCAGAATTCTTGTTAACCAGTAGACGTTAAGCCCCGGCCAAACGATCGCAACATATCGCAACATTGTTGGGCGCAACATGTTGTGCGTTTGGCCAGCCTCTTGCGATGTGTTGGGTGTTGTTGGCGGCTCAAGTTTGAAAATAATTTGCTCCCTAAGCATCCCATAATAGCTACTTGAAACAATATCATTCAAAATTGCCGCCGTATCGCCGAAGACGTTCATCGGGTAACATCACTTAGATTTTACTCAGTTTTAGCTGGGGCGTGTGCAGTCACGTGACAGATTTGGACCAGTTACGTACGAGCGAGAACGTTTGATGGATTCTAGTTTTTAGTAGCCTAGTGGTGTGTCCGTGTATATTCTAATATTGCATTTTCAATGAACAATTTTCACAGCTTGCAAGGATTCTTCCAACCGAGGAGAACTTTTTGGCACAATTTCAGCACACTACTAATTTGACAAGCGTCGACTTTTTCAAGGTTTGATGAAAATACTTATAGTCGGCGCGCCGGAATGCATGGTCCGTCCATGCGGCAACATATCGGGCAAATGTGAATGCCTCATTATATGTCATCGATTCAGGATAAAATGATAAATTTAGTTAACTATAAGGAAAAAAATTGAACGTCTGCACTTACAGGTATTGAAATTGAAAGTATTTACGTTAAAATGCAAATGTTCTTGAATTGCGTGGGAATATTTGTAAATGAGGGTTCTAAAAATCAATTTTCCATTTTGTTTCTATTGTGCTTTGTTTTATACACATGACGCCTCTTTTCTGTTTATTTCCTTCATTGTCATTAGAATCAGTCTGCCGTTCATTTATTATTTTGAACGGCGGAACTTACTCTGTGCCAATTTAGTCTTAGGTTTCCTTCATCCACTCGGGATCCTTCCCGCCATATTTCCAGTTCTTTGTGTGCCATGTTTTTTCTCGACTTTTTAAGGTGTGGACTCATTATGATTTGGACCGTTCAGGTTACATCGAGAGCAACGAGCTTGAGGTACTGATGCTAAACACAGACGAAATGTTTGTCAAATGTTATTGTTGTACCTATTATCCCAGTTATCATACAAACAGCGCGAAAGGGTCAATTCTACCTTTACTTTGTCGACCCGTTCAACTCGTTTGTATGCTTTTCATTATCGACAAAAGAATATGACCGCAGGCTCAGCTCAACTCCACTGACAGTTCTTGCCTCGATTTTGGATTAATTGCCTGATTTTTAATAATATATGCTTTTCAGGAGCACACAAAANACAGCTTGCAAAGATTCTTCCAACCGAGGAGAACTTTTTGGCACAATTTCAGCACACTACTAATTTGACAAGCGTCGACTTTTTCAAGGTTTGATGAAAATACTTATAGCCGGCATGCATGGTCCGTCCATACGTCAACATATCGGGCAAATGTGAATACTTTATTCCATGTCATCGATACAGAATAAAATGATAAATTTAGTTAACTATAAGGAAAACACTTGAAAGTCTGCACTTACAGGTATTGAAATTGAAAGTATTTACGTTGAGAGGCAAATGTTCTTGAATTGCGTGGGAATATTTATAAATAAGGGTTCAAAAAATCAATTTTCCATTTTGTTTCTATTGTGCCTTGTTTTATACACATGACGTTTCTTTTCTGTTTATTTCCTTCATTGTCATTAGAATCAGTCTGCCGTTTATTTATTATTTTGAACGGCGGAACTTTCTCTGTGCCAATTCAGTCTTAGGTTTCCTTCATCCACTCGGGTTCCTTCCCGCCTATTTCCAATTCTTTGTGTGCCATGTTTTTTCTCGACTTTTTAAGGTGTGGACTCATTATGATTTGGACCGTTCAGGTTACATCGAGAGCAACGAGCTTGAGGTACTGATGCTAAACACAGACGAAATGTTTGTCAAATGTTATTGTTGTACCTATTATCCCAGTTATCATACAAACAGCGCGAAAGGGTCAATTCTACCTTTACTTTGTCGACCCGTTCAACTCGTTTGTATGCTTTTCATTATCGACAAAAGAATATGACCGCAGGCTCAGCTCAACTCCACTGACAGTTCTTGCCTCGATTTTGGATTAATTGCCTGATTTTTAATAATATATGCTTTTCAGGGGCACACAAACGCCAATTGGTCAGAATTTGTAAGTTGTTGAGATATCAGTAGATATAGTATATAGTAATCCCCTACATTAACCCTTCTTCCAGGCTCTCGCTACCTAGATCGATTTAAAATTCCGTCTTTTTCTAATAATTAGAATATCATTCCAAAGATATCAGGGAGCCTAAATTCTCAAGTTAACTCTGTTGTTTATATATAATTATTCGTTATTCTCCATTAGGGATTCTTAGTGGACCTGCTTGGGAGAGAGGGAATGTCGCTGGACCCGCAAAGGGTCTGTGACTATAAAGATGCCATGGTAAGTCGCTTGAAAATGAACCAGATACCGTAAGGATTCAATTTAGCGCCCGGAGCGATAATTCCCTTGAGGTGGTTATTGGAGAGGGGCACGGAGCGCTTGGGCTCTCATAGCTACAACAACATTTGTTTCATTATTCCCTATCAGTATGTGCAATATTACGTTCAGATTAGAAAGCAGACTGCACAATTCACTTGTCGTAAGTGCATGTTACGCCTATTGAAACAGGTGCTCATGAATAAATGCCACTCAAAGCGGAGCGCTCATTAGAAAGGGAATGCTTGTTTGAAGGAGGGCGCTAAATCGAATTACTACAGTACGCTTGATTTGGAATTCGAATTACAAAAAGTTAGAAAAAGCTGATCATGGGGTTTTAGAAGAAGTCAATTTTTTTAGTACAGTAAATATAAAAAAATATGAGGAGTTCTTTCTGGCTTAACTGTCGGAGGAATTACAGCTGTGGAGTGGTCCTCAATGTTGGCTGAGTGCAATTTCCCTTGCATTAAGCGAACGCAGAACTGTGTATGTATGCTTTGGCCTCTTGCCTACCGTTTTGCAAGAACCTCTTTGAGCCCAACGTTATCCTCGTCTCACAAATGAACCATTGTCTCATTCACTTCTTTACGCTCCTATACGTGTAAGCAGTTACGATCGGACTCTGAAATACAGATGTCATACAACACGTGCGCCGGCCTGAAAAACTTGCAACACTATTGTCTATTCCAGATTGATCTCGTTTAGTTGAGACGTGAACTGCTAGCGCTCACCTAAAGTATTGACCTGAGACCTTTTAGAACTGTGAACAGTGTTGGGGTGGAAAGGAGTGTATAGCGAACTGACTAAAAAAGAAAAAAAAAAGAAAAAGAAGAAAAGCCTTCTTAGCTTCGCCTCTCCCTTCCTCCATCTACCCTTATCTTAGGAAAACCTGATGCAAACTGCTGAACTAGTACTATGAAAATAAGGACGATTTAATGGCTAAATTTCAACAGNATTTGTAAAAAACTAGGTTACTTTACATATGAAGCACTACAAATAAGAGAACTTTGTAACCCTAGAACTTAAAATGAAGAATCTTGTAACTAACTATATTTATTTTTCTTTCTGGTTGCTGTTGTAATTCTTTTCGTTTTTGAATTTTTATTTAACGATTATGTATTTAGGTAACACCATTTATATGGGAATACCAATAAATTGTTGTTGTTGTATCGATTGGACTTGACTGATAATGCGTCGTTTACTTTGCCAAAAACCTAAAATAGATTAAAACAGCCCATACTAAACGCATCAGTTGTGTTAATTTAACACCTTCAGGATTGTCTTTGATTTCAACGTTTGTCCAACGTTGATCTTGGCGGCCACCTCAGGGGAAGTGTTACAGTTCGCCATGGGTGTGCAAATCTGTGTCCTGTCCACAATCGTCATTCATACGTCAGTTGTGAAATCACTTCTATCTTTCGAAGCTTTCAAAACACGATATCTGCTTGCTTAAACGCAAACGAATCAAGCAGGATGGCTGTTTACAGCACATGGTTTTTCTTTATCACTTTTAAGCCATGGTCATCCATAAGGGTTTTTCTGCAAGGGTGTTTGCCTACCAGTGTCCATGATGAAGTTGCTACGCATAAACTGTATCAGCCTTGAAAGGGAAAAATGTCCGTTTTCCTAATTGTAGAGAAAACCAGGACGAAGAAAACAAAACTGTAGCATAAAGTGCCTGCCAAGCAACCATTCAGGCGGGTACAGTTTGTAAGCTCGACAGAGCAATTCACTCTGCAGGAATTTTGTTTCCTTCACATTCTCTTGCACGATATTTTTTTGCAGTCACCCTCCCTTGCATGAATTTTTTTTTGTCCCCCCCCCCGATCACTTTTCTAGTAGTCTGTCCCTTTTAAGTAAATAAGCGTCCCGGGCGCTAAATCGAATTACAGGTATTATGATAATTGTATCTGGGGGGGGGGGGGGGGGTGGCTCTGATATCATTGCATANGTAACTATGTTTATTTTTCTTTCTGGTTGCTGTTGTAATTCTTTTCGTTTTTGAATTTTTATTTAACGATTATGTATTTAGGTAACACCATTTATATGAGAATACCAATAAATTGTTGTTGTTGTTGTTGTTGTTGTTGTTTCAATGGTCGAAATATTCATTTGAATTGGCCATTAATCCTACCTCTAGCTAGTTCTTATAGTTATCAGCGTAAAACCATGCCTTGACCATTTTTTGGCATTTCTTTCTTTCTTAGCTGGATTTGTTTGATAAAAACAAAGATGGAAAGTTGTCCCTGTCTGAAATGTCAAAGTAAGTAAGTGAAATAATTTCATTAGGGGGTCTGCAATGCTGCTAAATTTTTCGGGGTCTGTGAGCAATGCTAATAATGATCGTCAAGCGAGATGCAGAAAACGCACAAGGGAAAAATGGCCGGGTCGCCAGCAAATATGATTTAGAGATCATGTAAAAGAAACTGGACCAAGAAGCGTGTAATCCGCTTACAGTCGAGTCCCCAGTAATTGCTCCTGATCAGTGCCAAACAAATTGCAAGACGACAAATTCAATATCTTTGTTACCAGCAAAATTGATATCAACTCAACTAACGCGAAAGATTTTTAAATTTAAAAGCTTATGAAAATCCCTAACATTACGTGTTTCCCTTTGTTTGCCTCGTTATCAAAATGGCAGATTTAAACAGTCGAAGAGCGGGGCCTAGGCTCGATTACATCCGCTGATTCGAGTCCGATTCGGTTCCTACGTTCCTCCCGAGAATGCAAGCTCCTTCCTCGAAAAGCGGCTGGTAATCGAGCCTAGTCGAGAAGGGCCAGAATATTTTTATTTATAGCTTTTCGTGTTTCAGCTAGGTTCGTAGGTTTATTCTATTTTGTTTGTCTTTTGTAGGATACTCCCTATGGAGGAAAACTTTCTGAACAGGGTAAATATTTCATTAGACTTCATTTTAATGGAATTTTAATTCATAATTTATCGGAGCTTTTAGCAACTCACTTGTCAGGTTCAATATTTTGTTTCCTTTCTCTTCGTAGAAAATAAATGACGCTCAGTTCGATGACATATGGAACAAGTATGATCAGGTGAAAAAAACACACTAAACAATAGATCAATTTGGCCTGAGAACTCTGTTGATCAAAAGGATCGTTTCCTATCGCTTCTCTCGGAAAGTCGCTAGTCTTCGAGGGTCGGGGCGGAAGGGGTCGCTTCGGTCGCTTAAACGCGTATTTATCGTGTAAACATGCACATCAAGGGAGCATTATTTATATAAAACCACGCCTAAACTTAGCTAGATTTTAGAAATAGTTAAGGTACTTCAGAGTCCAAAAAGGTAGCTGGTTTGCGGCTGTTGAAATATCTTTATTCGCTTTTCTCTTTTAAACAATTCTGTTGGGTTTTCCTAGATCATAGCCCATTTTATGTAAAGTACATTTTTAAATAGTGCTTATGGACGTCCCTTATGCAAGAGTCCATCCTGCCGTTATATCTTGTGTTTCCCAACGTAATTATTTTTCCAAAATAGTCGAACTAAATTTGAGGTTGCTGCATTCGGAGCGTTGGGTAATTACTTCATGATTTTCAATACTAACTATCGTTTAATTCAGCGCTATTCTCCGGGGGAAAGGGGGGTGTTGGGGGTAGTCACTTAGGGTAAAGTAACTACTTATGTAATTGTTATGGTGCAAATCTGAAAAAACGAATTCCGCATCTATTTACATGGATCTAAATGTTTTGGTTCGCAGGATGGCAGTGGTTTCATTGCTGACGATGAAATTGACGCCCTCATCCACGATCTCTTGAAGAGGAATAGCGAAGTAAGTTTGTGTTTTTTTTAAGCCTGATTAAACAAAATCATGGCCACGAACCACTCGAGGAACGTCAGCTTCGACGCTTTAAAAATGGAGCCGTCTGTATAAGGGGGTTGCATGGAATCAGTCATCAGTGAAATTTTCACTGATTTCTTAGCTTT